TTGATCTGGTTTGTCCTCTTAATTTCACTGACTCGCTACTCTCTCCATTCCTTCTACACACTCTTTCCCACACATTCCTGCCCCTCATCTTTTTGTGCGTATTATTTTCTTTCCAAATCTTTGTAGCCCTGGCTGGCCTGGGACTCATTATGTAGGCTAGGCTGGCCAGCCTCCACCTGCCTCTGCCTCCCAAGTTCTGGGATTAAAGGGGTGTACCACCCAGCAAGGCCTATTTCCAATTCTTTTGATAGGATCCTCATTAGTTTAATTGTACTGCGATGGTGACTCACAAAGGCAGTGTGGCTTCCTAGAACCTTGCCCTGTCCTGAAAACCTTTAGGAATGGGGCAATAAGCATGCAAAAGATACTGGTGTCATTAACCAAGCAGGAGTACAAGTCAAACCACCCACTGCGCTCCGTGCCCTTTAGGATGACAGAAAGAAGAGGAGACAAATACAAGTGCTGGCAAGGACGGGGAGGCTGACGACTGGGCATGGGAAGACAGCATGGTGCGGCCAGTATGGTGGCCCCTCAAATACTTCAAAGCAGAGTTCCCTGTGTTAGTGACTGAGCAAAACTGGTATCTTCATTTAAAGTTTACAGTGCAAGCTGAACATGGCCCGAGGCATTTCTGCCCATTGCTTTTATCTTTTACATATATGCTTTGTGACTGAGCTAAGAGTACCCACTAGTGCGCTTACTGTCTTCTTTTTAAATTGTGACCTTGGAGCTGGAGAGTTGGCTGCTCTTCCTGAGGACCTGGGTTTAATTCCCAGCATCCACGTGGCAGTTCACGCCTGTCTGTAACTTCAGTTCCAGGGCTTCTGACACCCTCGCACAGACATACATGCTGGTGAAATCCCAATGCACAAAAAGTTAAAAATTATGTACTGGGCCAGGCATGGTGCTGGGCCAGGCATGGTGTTGCATGCCTTTAATCCCAGTCAGAGGCAAGTGAACCTCTGAGAGATCCAAGACAGCCAAGGTGATGTAGAAAGACCTTGTCTTTTAAAAAGAGAATTATCTTACAGTGGGCGTACTCTCAAGTAGAATAATTCACTAAGCCTGCTTAGAAATGGACTCACCCCATTTGAATATGTACAGGTCTCTTGAGTGAAATCTCCATTTCCTCTGACTCAGTGCGCTCCTTGTCACTGCAGGTCACACACGGTTGAGTTAATTTTGACTCGGCAAGTTGTGAGCTCATTTTTCTTTTCAGTTATACCTGTGATTAAACCAATCCACTTCTGAATATATATCCACTACCCTACCCTCATCCACAGCAGCTGTGTTCACAGCCAACACATGCCCATGGGCTGGAGAGATGGCTCAGCCATTAAACGCTAGGCTCACAACCAAAACCATAACACATGCCCATTAACAGAGGAAAGGACCAGCGGCTTGTGTAATACAAGGACAACAGGAGAATAACCTTAGAAAGACCGCAGGATGGGTAAACAGTGAGGACATTATGGGGTGTGGGAGGGACACACTTGGTGGAGGTGTTTGGGACAGTGTGCTGGCTAAGTTTATGTCAAATTGACACAAGATGTGTTCATCAAAGAGGCAGGAGCTTCAGTTGAGCTTCCATAAAATAGAGCTGTGTTGTTTTGTTGTTTTTTTTCTTTGTTCTTTGGCTCTTTGGGGGGCCTGCCACCCAGCTCCCAAATAAATCACAAAGAGGCTTAATTTTTCTTTTAACTACCCAGCATTAGTTTGGCTGGGTTCTCGCCAGCTTTTCTTAAACTATACCATCGACCTTTTGCCTCTGGGCTTTTATCTTTCTCTTTTTCTGTATATCTTTATATATTTGTATTTCTTTACTCTTTACTATGTGTCTGGCTGGGTGACTGGGTGGCTGGACCCTGGTCTCCTCCTTCTTCTCTTGCTCGTCTATCTCTTTTCACAGATTTCTCCTCCTATTTATTCTCTCTGCCTGTCAGCTCCTCCTATCTGTTCTCCTGCCTCACTATTGGAACTCAGTTCTTCATTAGACCAATCAGGTGTATTAGGCAGGCAAAGTGACACAGCTTCACAGAGTTAAACAAATGCAACATAAAAGAATGCAACACGTCTTTACATCCTTAAACAAATGTTCCACAGCATAAACAAATGCCAACACATCTTAAAAATAATATTCCACAACAGAGTTGTACAGAAGCCTGTCAGTGGGCCTTTTCCTAGCCCATCACGGGCGGTACCACCCCTGACTGGTGATCCAGAGTTCTGTAAAAAACAAGTCATGCAAGTCACAGGAAGCAAGGCAGTAAGCAACACCCCTCCATGACGTCTATATCAGCTCCTGCTCTAGGTTCCAGCCTTGCTTGAGTTCATGTCCCGACTTTCTTCAATGACAGCCTATGACATGGAAGTGTAAGCCAAATAACCCCCCTCCAGCTTGCTTTGTGGTCATGGTGGTTCATCGTAGCCCTAACTAAGACAGATAGCTGCGTTTACAGAGACAATGAATGAGGTTTCAGGGGCTAGGGATGTCGCAGATGGGGAGCATCAAGCAGCAGGTGCAGGTTCAGCTTTGTCAGTGCATAGGGTTTGAGAGACAGAAGCATGGCAACAGAGGAGGTCTGTCCAGCAACACACTACAGTTTAGAACAGCTAAGGTGGCAAATGTATATAGTGTGTACTTTGCTGTGCTTAAACATCTTACAGTTCTGAAAATCTGTCCTAGAGAGAGTATATAACTTACTTGAGATTGCTTTTGGTTTTTTTTTGTTGTTGTTTTTTTGTTTTGTTTTGTTTGAGACAGGGTCTCATTACGTAGCCCTGCTGGCTTGGGACTCCCTGTGTAAGCCAGGCTGGCCTAGGACTCACAGATCTGCCTTCCTCTGCTAGGCTTAAACACCTGGGTTCAAAGTTGATTTTAGATGAATTATTTCAAAGCTTTCTTCCCCTAATTACTAATCAGCTATCTCAGTATGGGCAATTGATTAATGTTTTCCTGTTCTTTTGTATTAATTGAAACTTTTACTTTTTTATTTAAGATTTCCTTTGTAATAAGTCCTTAAATACTTTAATAGATAAATTTTGGATTTCATGTGTACTCATTCTTTTTAAAGAAGATTTTATTTATTTTATGTACATGGGTTTTGGTTTGGTTTTTTTGAGACAAAGTTTCTTTATATAGCCCTGACTGTCCTGGAACTCACTCTGTAAACCAGGCTGGCCTCGAACTCACAGAGATCCATGTGCTTCTGCCCCCTGAGTGCTGGGATTAAAGTTGTGCGCCATTGCCATCACTGCCTCAGGATCCTTTGAACTTTACCTCTTTCTTTCTTTCTTTCTTTCTTTCTTTCTTTCTTTCTTTCTTTCTTTCTTTCCTTCCTTCCTTCCTTCCTTCCTTCCTTCTTTCTTTCTTTCTTTCTTTCTTTCTTTCTTTCTTTCTTCCCTTCTTTCTTTCTTTTTTGGGGGGGAGGCGTTTCCAAGTCAGGATTGCTCTGTAGCTTTGGAGCCTGTTCTGGAACTAGCTCTTGTAGACCAGGCTGGCCTCAAACTCACAAGATCCGCCCGCCTCTGCCTCCCAAGTGCTGGGATTAAAGACACACGCCACCACCACCTGGCTCAAACTTTTCTTTTAAATAACTCAATCTTTGCTTTTCCTGAAGCTGACCAGTACATTTTCTCTTTCTGGAGACCTCATCATCCCAGTCATATTTACTGTGAGTCTGCTCCCTCCCTCTTTACACATGTGTGCCCCAGCCCTTCCCTTATACACATATGCCTCGGCCCCTTCCCTCACACATGTGTGCTTTAACCTCTTCCCTTACACGTGTGTTCCCTTGGCCCCTTCCCTTACACTCATGTACCTCGGTCCCATTCCTCACACACATGTGCCTTGGCCCAGAGATCCTAAGTTTGTTTGAGGGAAGCAGATCATTGCAATATAACGTGTGTGCATAGCAAAATATGAGTTACTCAGAGGTTGAGGCAGGGATTTTTTTTTTTTAAAGCCAAAATAAAGAACGTATATTTGTTTTTCACAAGGGCTTCAGTCATGCTAGGCAAGCACCCACACCCTGTGACATCCTGCCTGTCATAGGTCCAGACACAGCAAGACCAAGTGACCATGGACTGAAACCTCAGAAACCACGGACCATGAGACTTTCCTTCCTTACAAACTGACGGCCTCAGTTAGCATGCGTAGGTGCATGCGACCTCAACTCTTTCATAACCTCCTGGATTGATTTCCTCTTTATATTTTTTGTTAGGGTTTGACACAAGTGATTCCATTTTGGTTCTGACACCATGACTGGCAGCCTGATCACGCTGGTATCTGTGCCCTTGAGTTGCCCCTTCTGTGGATTGTAAACTGGACAGTGGTTCACTCAAACCGAATACAGCAGCAGTGGGTGAAGGTCTCATTTTCTGCGTCCAGTCATTAGGAGGCTGCAGCTTCCACTTCTCTGCATCTCTTCAGTGTTGTTGACTAAAGCTACAGAGCCTTTAATGCCAGGCCTGTGTTCTATCACTGAAGCACACCTTAGTCCCATCTGGTCACTTTCTTAACTGCCTCTCCAGGGGAAGCCTGCTGCCATAATGCCACAACGTGTGAAATCTGATCTTTAATGTGTTTGTAGAGTACTGAGGACATGTATAGGCCCATGTGAAGAACGAAAGCCAGCCCAAAGCCATAAGAACAGGATCGGAAGTGGGTCCTCCTCCCATCACACACGTGATGGCAACCTCAACAACTTGCCTTCAGCCCCTCGAGAACCCAGGCAACCCTGCTACCCCATATTCCTTGCTCTCAGAAAGTGTAGTGAATGTTTGTTTGCAATTGCAAATTTGGGGTGACTTCTTATACAGCATTAGCTAACTGATACACCCAATAATTCTGACTTTTCCGTGACAATCATACTGTCTGCAAATAACAGCAGGCTTGTTTGTTGCTTCCTTCCTAGTCCTTCACTCTTCTTTCCTTTTAATAAATCCTCTTTGTCAACTTGGAATGAACATTTCTGGAAGATTCTTCTTTTGTATGTCACTGAGGGAATCTGCAAACACAGTCCCCTACTGTCACAAACTATGTTTTCAAGTTTCCCACATTGGAGGAAATCACAGGGTAGCAATCTGGAGTGCCATGGCTCGTGGTATCCCAAGAATGGTGTTTATCCCCCCCCCCCCCCGCTCCCAGGAAGCACAGCTAATGCTTTATCATAATTGTCAGAACTGTGACGAGTGAAGCAGAACCACCTCTTTCCTTTCACTCTCCTTTCTAGTCTGGCGACAGATCTGCTGGAAGCAACTTGGTTTTGTTTCCAGTTGTGGTAAGGCAGAAAGTTTCTGTTCCTCTATGGACACAAGGTTTGGTGAAGTGTTTAGTGGCAAGAATTTTTTTTTGTTTAGTTTTGTTTGCTTGTTTGCTTTGTTTCTTGAGACAGGGTTTCTCTGGTGTCCCAGGCTGGCCTGGAACTAGTTCTGTAGACCAGGCTGGCCTTGACCTCACAGAGATCCATCTGTCTCTGCCTCCTGAGTGCTGGGATTAAAGGAGCCCACTACCACCGCCCAGCCCTTGTTTTTATTTTTAAAAAGAATTTTAGGCTGGGCAGTGGTGGTGTACATCCTTAATCCCACCACTTGGGAAGCAGATGCTGACGGAGCTCTGTGAGTTCAAGGTCAGCCTGGTTTTCAGAGCAAGTTCCAGGACACGCAGAGCAACACATAGAAAGTCTATCTCAAAACAAAACAAAACAATTTTTTAGAATTATATTTATCTATCGTGTGTGTGTGTGTGTGTGTGTGTGTGTGTATGTTGGGGATGTGAATGTACTTGTACAACAGCATGCAGGGAAATCAGAGGACAGTTTTCAGGATGTGGAGGGCAGAGGACAATGTGGGAGTGTCTCTCCTAGTGAATTGTTCCAGGGGATGAAAATCAAGTTCTCAGGCTTGGCGGAGAGTGCCTTTGCCCACTAATCCATCTCCCCTGCCCAAGCCTGCTGTTCTGACACCCTCTCTAAACCATTTTTAAAAGACAGTTGGAGTGCTCACCTCAGCAGCACACATACTAAAATTCAAACAACACAAAGATAGCGTGCCCCCACACAACCAGTGGGGCAGTTACTCAACTGGCAAAGTGCTGGTCAGGAGAACCTAAGTCCAATCCCCAGCACCAGCTGGATGTGGACTGGAAAGATGGCTCAGAGGTTAAGAGCACTGACTGCCCCTTCCAGAAGTTCAATTCCAGACAACCACATAGTGGCTCACAACCATCTGTATCGAGATCTGGGGCCCTCCTCTGACCTGTAGGCATACATGCAGACAAAAGCACTGTATACATAATAAATAAAACAAAAGGAAAAAGCTGGAGGTGGTGGCATTTTCCGGTGACTCCAGCACTGGAGAGGCAGAGAAAGGAAGAGGATCAAACCCCCAGGTTCTAGACAAACTCGTGCACGTGTGTGCACGCACACAACACATGAACACACACACACACACACACACACACACACACACACACACACGAGAGAGAGAGAGAGAGAGAGAGAGAGAGAGAGAGAGAGAGAGAG